ACAAATACCTCAGTTGATCCTCAAAACAACCCTGGGAAGTAGGTGCTGATATGATCCCTATTTTATAGTTGAGGAAACCAAGGTTAAGTGACTTGGTCAGGGTCACGCAGGTAGTGTCTGAGGCCATATTTGAACTCAAATCATCCTGACTCCAGGTCCAAGACTCTACCCACTGTACCACCTCCCAGCCTGTGATTTCACTACTATAGGGAACTTCCCCTACTCTTAAAGGCTGTCACTTTCTCTGAAGCTTATAGCCTTGGAACAAAGGTTCCACAACATATTTCTGATTGTGTTAATAACTTTTGGCAATCTGGTGAAACTTGGATGGACCCCATTCTCAGGATAATGTTTTTAAATGCAAAAAATAAAATAGTAGCATTACAAAGGAAACCAATTATTTTGAAGTATTGTTATCAAATTAAAAGAACAGCAAGAAGCTCACGGACCCCTGGTTGAGGTCCCTTGCCTTAGAGAATGGCCTTTAAGTGACTTGCCCAGAGTCACGGAGCTACTGTGTACCAGAGTGGGCCTTGAACCCAGGTCCCTTGCCACCTACACACAGCTACAGCTGCAACAGCAAGGTCCCCTGAGGGAGGAAAAGGAAGGAGAATCCAACCAGTGTGGCCTCCTTGATCACTACCTCCTCTCAGATCCTGTTGGAGATAGCCCAGAGCCTTTAAATCAATGCCTGCAGGAAGCTGGGAAATGTAGAGGAATCATGCTTTCTTTGGTCTGGTCTTTCCCTCCATGGAAAGGCCCTCTAGCAGTTACTCGACTGTCTTCCAGGTTGCTGGGAGCCACACACAGTGGCCCATTTCTGTAATCCTAACCACAGGGGAGGCCTTGGCTTCTCCAGGAGGGCCAGAGAAGTCTCCCTTTGAGATTCCTCAGTAGCCCACAGGCCCAGGTCCTAGGTCGCCAGGACAGCCCCCAGGCAGCCAGGCTGCCTCTCCATTTCTGAGGCATAAATTAGCAGAAGAGAAGAAGGGAGGTCATCCACTTAGGCTGCATTGACCCCCGGAGCCATCATTCCTTCCCTCTCATTCACTCACTCACTCACTCATTTATCTGTAGGTTCAGAGGGCCAGTGCTAAAGGAAGAGGACAGGCAGAAAGAAATCAAGCAAGAAAATGGATTTCAAAACCCAGGCCTGACCTTCTCGAGAAGGGGATCCTTCTTTCCTTTCTCTCCCTGTCATCCCTGGAATTCTGACGTGCACTGGAATATGCTAAGGCAATCAGGTGTCTGCACTAGAATCAGCATCAGCAGCATCCACTCAGAGAAACAAGGTCCCTAAGGAGAGGTGAGCCTGCTTAACTTGAAGACAGAGCAGGTCAAAGCTCCCCTACTGATCAACAGGCATTCATGGCAGTAGAGGGAGAGCAGTCTGTCTTTCTTTTTTTCTTTCTTTCTTTCTCTTTCTTTCTTTCTTTCCTTCCTTCCTTCCTGCTGGGACCTCCAGATTCCTCATCACAGATCCACTGTGGTGATGGGCCTCTCTGATAGGCCCGTACTCAAAACCCTTCCAGCCTGGTAGGGCCTGCCAGAGCTTATACTCTGCTGGCATGAGCTCCCAGAACTGAGAAAGACTATATGGTACTGGGTTCAAATCCTAGGTCTACATGACCTTGGGCAAGTCACTTAAAGGCATCTCTCTGAAAAATGAGAGGAGCAGACTAAATGATCCTGAAGGTCTGCTTTCCTCGTTGACCTTGGGTAAGCCACATAACTTCCTTAGACTGCAGTATCCTCATCTATAAAATGATTAGGTCAGGCTAGATGACCCTTACTTAAGATCTACTTTCCTGTGTGATCATGAGTAAGTCACTTAATCTTTCTGGGCCTCAGTTTCCTTATTGGTAAGATGACGGGAATTTGACTTAGAGAGCCTCTGAAGTCCCTTTCAACTCCAGGTCTATGATCCTTTGATAATTTACCTATTTCATGGGCTCTGGTTAAGGAGAGAAGAAAAGTCTGTTTATTCTGAAGCATGTTCCCTGATGAGCAAATCTTTCTTCTGCCTTCTCGGCGGTTGGTAAATATTTGTTGAACTGAATCACGAGTTTAGTTCTTGTTGGGAAAACACAGAGGAATCATTTACTTGGAGGTCTTAGGCCCCCAAGCGAAAATGTCAAAAAGGGCCCCTTTCCAGTTTTATTAATTATAAAACAAACATCTTCAAGCCTGTAGAGTACATGGGCTATCTTGGGAGAAGCAATGGAGAGAAAGAAGGGAGACTGTGGGCAGGGGGATTTCTCTGATTCTACTCAATTCCCATCTGTCTTTGGAATTTTCCCTGGCTAGGACCCATGGGACCCTTGAATAATTAACTCTTAACAAGCCGAGTCACTCATCTTCAATAAATGTGGAGCTTGGGATGGGAGGTTTACCAAAAAGGGAACTATCTGTAAATACTACATCTAGCCTTCCCTGTAAATTTGGGAAGCCTTCCATATTTTCCTGCAGGAGGCCTTTCCTGCCTCACCCTCCACCTCATCTCTTCTAGTGCCTTCCCCTGTGGGATGACTTTGCATCGTGTGTGTGTGTGTGTGTGTGTGTGTGTGTGTGTGTGTGTGTGTGTG